TATATTTCAAAATAGCTAGAAGAAAGGACTTGAAATGTTTCCATACATCGAAGTGGTAAATGCTTGAGGTGATGGATACCCTAAATACCCTGGCTTGATCATTACACATTCTGTACATGTAACAGATATCATATGTACCCCCAAAGCACATACAAATAGTATAAAAAGAAACACTCACACCCCATGGCCCTAGATAATGACAAGCACACAAATCACTTGACAATTTTCTGGGGTTTTTGTTTTCCCAGATTGCATCAGTCCAGGCATTAATAGCACCTGCCGCTTTCTTATCTTTGCAGAGAGCAATCTGCTTCTGAAGCTACATGAGGCAGCAAAGCCAATAATGAACTTAGATCTATACAATCTGGGTTTGTGCCTTGACTCTGATGCTTATTATCTGTGTAGTTACAGGTAAGTGTTGCTTTTCTCAACATTCTTTCCTAATCCGAAAGTCAGAGGGATATATATGGCGGTGGGAGGGGGAGGCGGGAAATGCATTTTGTGAAACAACTTGGTGCGTAAATGCTTATTATCTTTGACTGATTGGTGTTTGTTTGCCACAGATAAGATCACGAAGTTGGAATTCTGGTACCTATGATTATCACCCAGATTTTTACTTTTTTTTTTTTTTTTTGAGACTGCATGCACTGGTACAATCTTGGCTCACTGGAACCTCTGCTTCCCAGGCTCAAGCAATTCTCCTGCCTCAGCCTCCCTGGTAGCTGGGATTACATGCACCCGCCACCATGTCTGGCTAATTTTTTTATTTTTAGTAGAGAGAGGGTTTCACCATGTTGGCTGGCTGGTCTCCAACTTCTGACCTCAAGTGATCTACCTGCCTCGGCCTCCTAAAGTGCTGGGATTACAGGCGTGAGCAACCATGCTTGACCCAGTTTTTTACCCATTGAAACACATTCAGAGTACAAGTTATCCTTCAGTAATGTGAATACAGCTAAATACCCTGTAGCTGCCCATGGTCATCTCATGAAGAGAGAGGAAAATAATGGCCTTAGCTCCCAAATGGTGCCCAATTTTTTTTTTCTTTTTGAGACAGAGCCTCGCTCTGTCTCCTAGGCTAGAGTACAACGGTGCAAATTTGAATCACTGCAACCTCCGCCTCCCAGATTCAAGCGATTCTCCTGCCTCAGCCTCCTGAGTAGCTGGGATTATAGGTGCCTGCCACCACACCCAGCTAATTTTTTGTATTTTTAGTAGAGACAGGATTTTGCCATGTTGGCCAGGCCCTGACCTCATGATCTACTCACCCTGGCCTCCTAAAGTGCTGCGATTACAGGCGTGGGCCACTGCACCTGGCCAGTGGTGCCCAAATTTTTAAAAAGCCCAACCTAAAGAAACTTCAGGATTCTCACTCCATCAAGTCCCAGGTGTCTGGCCCCACCAGAGACTTCTCTTCTCCAGCCTTTGCCCACCTCAACTTTATTCTCTACAGTTTGCACTCTGTTGTATAGCTCTACCCAGCAGGCTGTTAATCCTGTGTGAGTTTGCCCACACTGATCTTGAGACTTAGGTGTCATATCCCGGCAGGTACCCTCGCAGTTTTCACAGACGTGGTGCTAAGGGTCTCTGCCATACAAGCCTGCTCACCTAAAATACACTGCTTACACTGCTTTATGAGGCAGGAGCTATCCTATCTCAGCACCTGGCCCAGGTAGTAGTTTCTTCAGCAACACTGAACTGAGTCACTAGACCACACTAATGACTACGAGTTGATTTATGATTATTTGTTTTCAGCTGCTGCCAAGTCATATCTGATCAGCTAAACAATATCCAGTTTTCTCTTCTCGGTGCTCCGTCACGACATTCTACCTAACTGTATGGAAGCACTAGAAATGATGCAAGGACATTTTTCCCCTGTCCTCTTGACTTCAGGACATTGACTTTTCAAATTTGTGAACACAGACAATTTAGTGCCAATATTTTAATCAGAATTGGCTGGGCATGGTGGCTTATAACTGTAATTCCAGCACTTTGGGAGGCTGAGGTGGGCAGATCACCTGAGGTTCAGGAGTTAGAGACCTGCCTGGCCAACATGACGAAACCCCGTGTCTACTAAAAATACAAAAATTAGCCGGGCATGGTGGCACGTGCCTGTAATCCTAGCTACTCAGGAGGTTCACTTGAGGCAGGAGAATCACTTGAACTTGGGAGGTGGGGGTTGCTGTGAGCCAAGATTGTACCACTACACTCCAGCCTGCGTGACATAGTAAGACGGTCTCAAAAAAAAAAAAAAAAAAAAGAAAATTCAATCAGAATTATGCTAATCTGATGAATTCAACACCGATACATTTTCCTTAACAGGAAGGGGAGATGGTTGAGGCAGGAAAGTTGAAGCCAGCCTACTGATCATGCTTTCTCCATCTGATCCCAGCAGTGCATCTACCACGAGGCTGCAGCAGGAGCTGGAGGGAAGGCTCTGTGTTTTGCTTAGGAAACGCATTTTATTTCCCACATTAAAGCAAGCTGAGGGGTGCTGGGAGATGATGTGGTATCCCCAACAAAGAAAGGATCAGGCTCCATAGGGTTGGCAGCAGCAAGCTGGGGCTGGTGGCTTCAAGGAAGAGCAGGGGTTACCACTCTCTGAGGGAAAAACAGGTGGTAAGAACAGGTGTACCCTTGGGCAAAGAACTCCATTAAGACAGGTATCAACAACTGCACCAGGACTGCCAGGTGCCCCAGCTGCACCTTGGGGCTGCCCAGCATGAGCACACACTGTGCTGACAGCCTCCATGGCACAACCACAGGGGTGAGAAGGCTTCGCACCTACCGTGGGGCCTGCTACATCGGGGTGCATGGGCATCTCCTGCTTACCTATGACTCACCAGAACAGTATACTCACTCAGCAAATGCTCTTTCTGTGTTCAACACTCAGGGGCAACATAGGCCCAGCTGTTCCATGCTTATTAGGGTTACGAAAATCATTCCCAACATTTTTACTTTATTTTTGAGAGTCTCACTGTGGCCGAGGCTGGAGTGCAGTGGTGCAATCTTGACTCAGTGCAACCTCCGCCTCTTGGGTTCAAGCGATTCTCGTGCCTCAGCCTCCCGAGTAGCTGGGGTTACAGGCGCGCGCCACCACGCCCGGCTAATTTCCATATTTTTAGTAGAGACATGGTTTTGCCATGTTGGTTAGGTTGATCTCAAACTGATCTCAAGTGATCTGCCTGCCTCGGCCTCCCAAAGTGCTGGTATTACAGGCCATTCCCAACACTCTTAATGCACTTTGCATGCTCCCTACTGACTCAGTGCTTCCTTGGGCCATGGGCAGAACAAAGCTGGAGGGTATGGATGCAAGGTCTGAGGGCACACAGTACCATAAAGCATCACCATGCAACACTGCTAGAGGTAGCAGAGGTGGCAGCAACTGTCAGCAAGTAGCTAAGAAAAAATATGAGGCCTGGGCACAGTGGCTCACCCCTGTAATCCTAACACTTTGGGAGGCTGAGGTGGGCGGATCACTTGAGCCCAGGAGTTTGAGGCCAGCCTGGGCAACACAGTGAGACCCCATCTTTACAAAAAATACAAAACCCAACTGGGCATGGTATGTGTGCCTGTGGTCCCAGCTGCTTGGAGGCTGAGGTGGGAGGATTGCTTGAGCCCAGGAGTTTAAGGCCACAGTGAACCATGATTGTGCCACTGCACTCCAGCCTGGGTGACAGAGTGAAACCTTGTCTCAAAAAAAAAAAAAAAAAAAAAAAAAAAATTAAAGGCTGGGCACAGTGGCTCATGCCTGTAATCCCAGCACTTTGACAGGCCGAGGCAGGTGGATCACTTGATGCCAGAAGTTCAAGACCAGCCTGGCCAACATGGTTAAACCCTGTCTCTACTAAATACACAAAAAATTAGCTGGGTGTAGTGGCACATGCCTGTAGTCCCAGCTACTCACGAGGCTAAGGCAGGAGAATCACTTGAAGCCAGGAGGTGGAGGCTGCAGTGAGCCGGGATTGCACCACTGCACTCCAGAGATTGTCACCACAAAACAAACAAAAAAGAGAGCTCAAAGCCTGTATGGTAGCAATCTAGACCTTTTTAGTTGTGACTAGTTGTGTTAAGGGCACTGACAATTGCTTGAATTACAAGTAGAATTCTTAGTTTCAAGTCTTAGTTGATGGAATGCTGTGATTGAAAATATCGACTTCCTTTAAAAATATGCTAGAAATGAGACAGAGCCTGGTTTAGCAAGGTCTTAATGTACCTTAGTGTTAATCCTAACATATATTGTTCAGCTAATAATCGAAGATCGATTTTTGTTCTTAAGGATTAGGAACTTTTAGGCTGAGTGCAGTGGCTCACACCTGTAATCCTAGTACTGTGGGTGGCTGAGGTGGGAGGATTGCTTGAGGCAAGGAGTTAAAGACCAGCCTGGGCAATATAGGGAGACCTAGTCTCTACAAAAAATTTTAGAGAATTAGCCAGGCATGTGGCACACGCCTGTGGTCCCAGCTATTTGGGAAGTTAGGTGGGAGAATCACTTGAGCCGGGGAGGTTGCAGTGATCTGTGATTATGCCACTACGCTCCAGCCTCGATGACAGAGTGAGACCTTGCCTCAAAAAGATAAAGAAATTTAAAAAGGATCAAGAACGTGTGTGTGTGTGTGTGTGTGTGTGTGTGTGTGTGTGTGTGTGTGTGTGTTTGATTTGGGTATGGAGAAGTGAGAAGAGGCAATTCGAGAACTTTTTTCCCTCTTTTGGCAGAAAAGGGCCAGGCAGCCACAACCACAAGCAAAAGTAGGTTAGAGAAACTTATTATTAAATTTATTTTTCTTTAAATATGTAACTTTCTTCTACCCTCACCCACTCCAGGGAGGAACAGAAAATCCCCACCCCCTTCCATTCTGGGGATTTCGTATCTAAAGCCTGAGCGGTGAGGATGAAGTATAAAAATACTATTTACAAAGGGAAGGAGGTATCTGTTGCTTAACCGTAGACACCCCCATCCCCACACCCCTTTTGATCCAAAAAAAAAAAAAAAAAAAAGGCCCCTGGGAATCCATTTAAGCATAGAACTAGCCCTCCTCTAGAGGGGCCCGCAAACCTCAACAGAGAATAGGAAGCTCCGAGATTAACTGAGGAAGAGATTGAATGGATAGCACCGTGGGTCCTGGCAGGGGACGGGACCTCTCTTACCCTGGAGTCAGCCGGCGCCGGCCAGCCTTTGTTTCCATAGGTCCCATGTAAACATCGACATTTTCCTTTAGGTCCCTGCTCTTCTGTTTCATACAGAGCCTCCCTCGCCTCCCGTGGAGGTGCTTGGTTCCCTGATCTTTCCTTCCTTCCCTTCTAACCTTCCTCTGGAAGGAGTGGGAAGGGGAGGGAAGGTTGTAGAGAGGGCAGAGCCCATCTCATCCCTTCTGGATCAGGGCAGCTCATCCTCCTAAGGGGAGCCTTGAAAGAGGATGTTCTCCATGTTCTTGATCGGGGTGAATGCCTTCCCCCATTACAGGGACAAGGCAGGTAGATAGTCCAGTACCGGGAGACAGTGGTCTTGATGGGAGAGGCCACCAGCATGGAGTAGCAGGGAAGAAGGCTTCAGGAGGCAGGAAGTGGGGGCACGTCTGGCACTGGTCTCGAACTGAGGGTGGAAACCCAGCCCTAGACCACCCTTCCCATCACCGGGAAAGTGATCATCATCACCCTACAGTCCTGTTGGTTGGAGCTGTGCAGAGGGACCAGGCATCCATGAGGCAAGAGGTCTTCTCCAGGTCTCGGTGTAGTGGCAGCACTCACACCAGTTCATCCAATAGAATCCCAATGTTCTGCGTGGCCTCTGAGGGCCCAGCAATGGGCTTGTTACACATGGGGCAGACACAGCGAACTTCCAGCCATTTCACCAGACACCTGGGAACAAATGAAGAACGGTAATCTCTAACAAGATAGACCACACTGCTCCAGTTGTCTCTCGAAACAAGAATATCCCGTGGTGGCTCACACCTGTAATCCTAGCACTTTGGGAGGCCGAGGCAGGTGTATCACCTGAGGTCAGGAGTTTGAGACCAGCCTGGCCAACATGGTGAAACCCCATCTATACTAAAAATACAAAAATTAGCCAGGCATGGTGATGGGCACCTGTAATCCCAGCTACTTGGGAGGCTGAGGCAGGAGAATTGCTTGATCCTGGGAGGCAGAGGTTGCAGTGAGCTGAGATTGCACCATTGCACTCCAGCCTAGGCAACAAGAGCAAAACTCCATCTCAAAAAAAAAAAAAGAAGAAGAAGAATATCCCTATCCCTGTCCCAACCTAATCCCCCTGGGCTTTGCTCTGTGTTCACGCAGGACCAGGGACATCACTGGCAAGGGGTAAATAGAAAGTGGCAGAGACTGGAAGGTTCCAGAAGATGATCCCTGATTATTTCTCCTTTGACAGGCACCCTAGACACATTCCCACTTACTTCCGGTGAAAGGCGTGTTGGCACGGGAGCACGCCTAACTCATCCTTTCCCTTGAAGTCTTCCAGACAGACTGCGCAGGTCTGCTGTAGAGAGAAAGGAGCAGGCGTGTGAGGAAACTGGGGAAGCATCTCATTCATTCATCCCCAGACAAGAAAACTAAGCTCTAGCCCAGTCTGTTCTACGAGGCAGGGAAACTTTTTAGCCATCCTTTACAAAACTGTATTGATGGCATGGTAGTCATTAACCACATGTGGCTGTTTAAATTTAAATTAACCAAAATTAGATGAAATTATAAATTCAATCCCTCAGTTACACTCACCACATTTCAAGTGCTCAACAGCCACATGGTGCTAATGGTTTCCATATTGAATGGTGCGAATAAAGAACATTCTTATTATCACATAAGTTTCCACTGCACTGGAAAGTACTGTCCTAGAGGAATGGTTTTCGGCCGGGCGCGGTGGCTCACGCCTGTAATCCCAGCACTTCGAGAGGCCGAGGCGGGTGGATCATGAGGTCAGGAGATCGAGACCATACTGGTTAACATGGTGAAACCCTGTCTCTACTAAAAATACAAAAAATTAGCCGGGCATGGTGGCGGGAGCCTGTAGTCCCAGCTACTCGGGAGGCTGAGGCAGGAGAATGGCATGAACCTGGGAGACGGAGCTTGCAGTGAGCCGAGATCGCACCACTGCACTCCAGCCTGGGTGATAGAGCGAGACTCCATCTCAAAAAACAAAAAAAGAATGGTTTTCAATCCTTTCTTGCCCAACACATTTGGTGAGGTGGCACTTAATACCAACCAGAGGTAAGGGGGCATAGTATATGTGATCGGTTATGTTCTTTTTTTTTTTTTTTTTGAGATGGAGTTTCACTCTTCTTGCCCAGGCTGGAGTGCAACGGTGCAATCTCGGCTCACCACAAACTCCACCTCCCAGGTTCAAGCAATTCTCCTGCCTCAGTCTCCCAAGCAGCTGGGGTTACAGGCATGCGCCACCACACACAGCCAATTCTGTATTTTTAATATAGATGGGATTTCACCATGTTGGTCAGGCTGGTCTCGAACTCCTGACCTCAGGTGAGTCACCCACCTCGGCCTCCCAAAGTACTGGGATTACAGGCATGAGCCACCACGCCCAGCCCAGTGACAGTCCTTAAATCCAGACTTCCCACATCCCTACATATTAACTCCCTTGATCTCAGTTGAATTATTCTCCGAGAGAAGGGCTTGGGAAACATCTGCACTTGCTGAGGCGTAACAGACAAAATGAGGCCATGTCTAGGCGGTCTCATGTTTAGTGGAACTGTGATCCTCCCCGCTCCCAGACAACCACAAACATGCTCAGAGCAGGAGTGTCTGTGGTCATGATCAGGAGCCTTGGGAAATGGGTTAGGTGACCTTAGAGGCATAGGTAGGAAAGGAATAGGATATAACTAATTCCTCAAGTCAGAGTTGAGGGGACTCAAAGAATTGGTGTATGGGTGGGAGTCTGGTGGGAGAGAAATGGGAGAGCCATGGGAATCAACACACTAGTCAGATCTAGTCTGTTAAGATGGAGTATACACAAAGGTAAAAGGACCTCATTTTCTATGGTAACAACCAGGACATAGGGGCTGAACATAGGGAAAGTTAGCTGAATTCTGTCTATGGCATGAAAGGGTGTGACCATCCTCCTGGTAAAAATTATGCAGTGTGGGATTTCTGGGGCCGTGAGGCACTACTTATCTAAACCCTTCTGTGACCCCTTCATGCCTTCTGCCTGAGGCTGTTCCAGATGTAATCAATTCCACATGTTAATTACTTGCTGAGATGTGTCTATTATTTGGCCAAAGGAGATACGAAAGCATGCACTAAGCACTTTTCTGAAAAGCGTCCAGGCTGAGAGCTGGAGCGAGGTGTGGTCTGCCTCACCTGCGGGGGCCCTCCTGCACACTCTCCTGGCACACTTACCCCATACAATTGTAACTTCTTGGCATCACCTCTAAGCACCACCTGAAAAGAAAGAGGAGGCATGATGTCCGAAGATAAACCAACCACTGGGGCCAGCCGGGTAGTATCAACCAATGAAGGGAGTCCCCTGGACTGCCTGGGGCAAGCCAGACTTCAGACACTGAAGGGGGTTAGCCTCAGGGAGGCCCAGAGGTGAGGCCAGGGGGATTCCTGCCCAGGAGAGCCTGAGCCTGCCCTCTTTGCCTCTTCCTATCAGGTCAGGCAGAGAAGGAAGCTTCTAGGGGAATACACAGCACTTTACCTCCTTATATCCGTATCGCTCACTCTGTGCCTGGTTCCGGAGTTTGCTGGGGGAAAGAGAAAAAAAATTGGAGAAAGCATGTTAAACAGAACGATTCAAAGCAGGAGAGGCTGGTTGGCTGCTTGGGCATTCTTCCGAGGGCAGGGAGGGGTGCTTGTCCCATACACACCACAGGGCATACTTTGGACCTATGCGGGCCAACAAGGGTTGATGAAGGACTAAGACTCTTACTCGGGTTTAACAGCCTCAAAATTCACCACCAGGTCTCATACACAGATTGGAGGACCCTCCAGCACAGCACCCCCAAATAGCTCATTCACTCACCCTGCCTTTTTCTGGTCGGCAAATTCCTTCAGTCACCCAAACTGTATAGAAATCAACACTGTGTTTACTGAGTGTGCAGCAGTTAGACAGATAAGCATAAAAGGGTTATTTCTGTTAAGCCAGGATAGCAGGATAAATAAGTCTCTGTTGACCCTGGGGAATTTTCCACACGGAGAACCTAAGTATTCTGGAACCAAAGCACACTCTTCCCTTCACTGTGCCAGACAACACAGATGATGCCTCCTTTGTTTTCTGCTTTTCATTTTAAGCTGGTGGCCTGCATACGGGCTGACTCTCAATGGCCAAAACATGGCATGCCATTTCTAATGGCAATAGCATAATATAATGGTTATGAAGCACTTGCTATGTGTCGCTGGGACACTTAACATATTCATATATGTTCTAATGATTTCACACTCTAAGAGTGAGATACCTTCGCTTTTACAGGTAAGAAAAATAAAGCCTGGCTGGGTGCGGTGGCTCATGCCTGTAATCACAGCACTTTGGGAGGCCAAGGCAGGTGGATCACTTGAGGTCAGGAGTTCAAGACCAGTCTGGCCAACATGGTGAAACCCCATCTCTACTAAAAATACAAAATGAGCCGGGCGTGGTGGTGCATGCCTGTAATCCCAGCTACTCGGGAGACTGAGGCAGGAGAATAGCTTGAACCCGGGAGACGGAGGTTGCAGTGAGCTGAGACTGCGCCATTGCATTCCAGCCTGGTCAACAAGAGTGAAACTCTGTCTCAAAAAAAATAAAAAAAGAAAAAGAAAAATGAAGCTCAAAGAAGTGAATTTATTTGCCCAAACATCACAGAGCTAATTGGTAGCAGAGTCTGGATGTGAATCAAAGTTGGTGTGATGACAGAGTCCAAGCTCTTTACCATAAAATGTGGTCTGTTCCCCAATGAGGTGGAATACATCATAGTCCTGAGAATCTGATCTGGTCCTGGGACACACCCTACCTTTTATTAAGTTTACAACTCTGAATGGCTTGCCGTGTAAATGGCCGAGACCATAATTATACACTGGCTTTGGTGCCATATTATTTTCAAGGAAGGGGTGGAGGATCTTCCATGCTGAACTCTGCGGGTAGCTTTAGAAGGCCTCCTGTATGTGGGTTGGGTGGGATGGCTCATGCCTGTAATCCCAGCATTTTGGGAGGCTGAGGTGGGCGGATTGCTTGAGCTCAGGAGTTTGAGACCAGCCTGGGCAACATGGCAAAACCCCATCTCTACAAAATATACAAAAATTCATAGGGCAATTCACACGGCATGGTGGCATGCACCTGTAATCCCAGCTAGCTGGGGGCTGAGGCATGAGAATCTCTTGAACCCAGGAGGCGAAGGTTGCAGTTAGCAGAGATCGCACCACTGCACTCCAGCCTGGGTGACGAGCAAGACCCTGTCTCAAAAAAAAAAAAAAAAAAAAAAAAAAAGCCTCCTGTATGTGTGCTATGGGGGAACCTTATGGGCCTTTTCCTGGTGATCACTTCTTAACACAGTCCTGGGTTATGTGGAAGGAAACATAGAAACCCAGCAAGCCAGGAGAAGCAGGAAACTTCAGTCTGAGGACCAAATCCAGCTCACTACTTGTTTTTGCAGGGTCCACAGGCTAAGAGTGGTTTTTATTCTTAAATGGCTGAAAACAGAAATAAAGAATAATGCCAAGTCAGGCAGATTGCTTGACGCCAGGAGCTTTGACGCCAGGAGCTTGAGACCAGCCTGCGTGATACACAGAGAACTTGTCTCCTCAAAAATAAATAAACAAAAGAAAATTAGCCGGGTATGGTGGTGCATGTCTGTAGTCCTGGCTACTTGTGGGGGCTGAGGCAGAAGGGTCACTTGAGCCCAAGAGTTCAGAGGTTACAATGAGCTAGGATTGTCCCCACTGAACTCCAGGCTGGACAACTGAGTGAGATGCTGTCAGAAAAAAATTTTTTAAATAAATAAACAAATGAGTGGATAGAGGGATGGCTGACCCAAGTCAAAAAAAGGGAGGCTCCAATCACAAAGAGCCCCAGTGGAAGGGGGTGTGGTGAGAAGCTGAAGCTGCTGCCTGGGTGATGGAAGAGGCAGAAGATGGGGGCAGAGCCAGGCCCGCAACACAGTGCAGGGCAGATAAGATCAGGCTGCCAGCCTCCTCCGTTGTTCCTGATGGGAAGTCAGGTGACCTGGCAAGGTTCATGTTCCTGGAGCCTCTTGAGAGTTCCAGTCCAAGTGGACTCATGCCACAGGCCTGGGCGCTAGGGCAGCACATCCACCATCCCCTCCCCTCCCCCTTCTCCCAACAATATCCTTTCTGCTTAATGCAGGGCTGGGCTAAAGGCCTAAGCAAGGCTCCCACTGTCCCATCCTTCACTTTGCAGATAGCTTCTTGGTCCAGAAAAGGTCTTTGTACATACACATGTGTCTCTGTCCCAATTTCCAAATGAGCAGGGCAAGACATACCCAATGCTTAGGTGGCTACTGTTGTTTGACTGACACTGGGTTCAGCTGAGGTGGAAAGGAAGTGTTCCCATGGACAGGGAGCTCAGAGCCGCCTTGAGGGAGAAAGACACTGTTGCTCTGTTATGAGGTACGTGCAGAGTAAATAAGGAAGTGGTGAAAAGCCTGTGTTTTTAACTGTCTGGGGAATGAGGGACTGCTATGCATCTTTGAGGCACTAATGTCTCACCTGCAACGTGGCTATACTTATGTAGTAGACGCTGTCTTTTTCTGTTTTCTGTACCCCAGGCACCTAGAATACCACTTCTCCACCCCTCATGCCTCTTGTCTGGCTGAATCCTTTAGTGGTTTTGCCCAGGGATCCTCCAAAACTCAGAACAGGGAAGCTTCAGAGCTGCCACCTCATCCTGCATGTAGATTTCAGCTCAGAAAGAATGAGATCATGATGAAATGTGGCCGAAAAGCTTGCAAGGAAAATAGAGTAAAAAGCAAAAACCCTGGGCAATCCCAGCTGGGGGCCTAGTACCAACCAGTCTGGACAGGTGGCCTTCTCAGCTGTTGGGTGAGCACAGCAACTAAAAATACCCCGATTTCAATGCGACCATTTCTAGCCGCTGCCAGTGGCTCTCCCTTTCCTCTTTTCCCTTTTAGAACAAACAATGCATCCAGGTCCTGAAAATAATGTTTCCCTTCCTGCCTATTTGTACTTCCCCGGCCCCTCCATTCCTGTGTAGGGCAGAGGTCAGCTCTGAGAGAGGGGGAAGAATGAGCGAGGGGCTGGCCTCGGCTGCTGAGCTCACCAGGTCAGGAGCAGTGGGGCCTATTTTGGCTGAGGAGGAAACTGAGAAGCAGGGAGAGGAAGTGGTGGTTTCTGCGCCTGTGTGTCTTTCTATATATAGACATTCACAGGCTACCACGTACCAGTGAGCCTCTGGGACTGTGAAACTTCAGGGTCAGCAGGCTTCAGGCAGGCTACAGAACAGGGCAGGGTGACGCAGGAGCAGATTACTGAAGGAACAGGTGGTGCTGAGTAGCACCACAGTGGGGGCAGCTTTTAGCATCGTGTGGTTACTGTTCTGTTTTGTGTGTGTGTGGTTTTTTTTTTTTAGATGGAGTTTCACTCTTGTTGCCCAGGCTGGAGTGCAATGGCATGATCTTAGCTCACTGCAACCTCCACTTCCCGGGTTCAAGCGATTCTCCTGCCTCAGCCTCCCAAGTAGCTGGGATTATAGGCACCTGCCACCGCAGCCAGCTAATTTTTGTATTTTTAGTACAGACGGGGTTTCACCATGTTGGTCAGGCCAGTCTCAAACTCCTGACCTCAGGTGATCCACCTGCCTCAGCCTCCCAAAATGCTGGGATTACAGGCGTGAGCCACCATGCCCGGCCCTGTTCTGTTCTTTGACTATAGCCGAAGAAAAAGAAATCAGCAATCCACAGCTCTCCAGCCTGTCCTTCTGTGAGAACTGACCCTGACCTGCAAGAGGGTGGCTGTGGAGCCTACAGCAACTCCTCTACTTCAAGGAATACGACTCAAAAGGCAAACACTTGAAAGGACTCAGCAAGACCCTAGCTCACCGCTACCAGACTTGTCCACCTCTGTGTCTTCCTCTGTGTATCACCTTGGGCAGATCCTAAACTGTCTGGGCATGAAGTTCCTCATTTATAAAGTGGGCTAATACCCAAACTGAGGATTAAGTGAGCTAAATGGTTTATAAAATGGTGACCACAATGCCTGGCCTATGGAAAGTCCTTGGTACAGAGTGGCTAACGGCCAGGCACTGTGGCTCACGCCTGTAATCCCAGCACTTTGGGAGGCTGAGGCAGGCAGATGGCTTGAACTCAGGAGTTTGAGATCACGTTGGGTGACGTGGTGAAACCTCATCGCTACAAAAAAAATCAAAAAATGATCTACAAAAAATGAAAACGTTAGTCGGGCATGGTGGCACACGCCTGTACTTGGGAGACTGAGTTGGGAGGATGGCTTGGGCCTGGGAGGTGGAGGTTGCAGTGGGCCGAGATCTCACAAGTGTGCTCCAGCCTGAGCGACAGAGCAAGACCTTGTCTCAAAAAAAAAAAAGAGAAAACCTAAGGTCGCACCTATTATTGGTTGATTTAGGAAATGAACCCTGGTCACCCACTTCCTAGCCCACAGTAGTTTTCTCTAGGTCATTTTTGTAGAGATGGAGTTTTGTTCCCCAGGCTGGTTTCAAACTCCTGGACTCAAGTGACTCTCCTGACTTGACCTCCCAAAGTGCTACAATTACAGGCAAGGGCATGGTGCCTGGCCTAGATGGTCTCTTGAAGCCCTTTGCTGCTTGGCATATGTATGCCTCTGTGTGTGCGTGTGTGGTGGGCAAGGAGAGCAGGGAGGAAAGGGAACAAACAGAGTTGGTTTTACAAACCCCTGTCAGCCTCATCATAAAGAAATCTTTGGTATTTGGTATATCTTCATCCTCTGTCTCCAGGATTTACGTGTGAATTGCTTAACATGGGGGTGCAGGAGTTGGGAGGCTGGTGGTCGGGAAGAATTTGAGGAAAAAAACAGCCTTCAGGAAAGGGGAGGAGACACGAAGAGAGAAGAGATACCAGAAATCTACCCTTACCTCCACTTAATGGTTAGATGTAATCTTCAGACCCAATTGTACAAGAGGGAAGATAAACCAGTATCTCCTCTGCATAGATTTTTACATGGAAAATTCCAGTTTCAGGGACCTATGTGAAAAGTTCTGAGAAAGAACAGGTCCAAGGTAGCACCTGGGAGCGGTGGGGAGATGTGCCTGACGGCACTTCCCCTTCTTAGAGGGAGCTCTTCCAGCCTTGGGGAAGATGGACTAGTACCTGCCTCTCTTGTAGCTGCCTTCCAGCAAAGCACTCAAACCCAGACGGGCATTTTAGGAATAAAGCCAGCAAAGCCTTTTCCTTAATCTTAATTTAATCTTCTTAAATTATTTGACCCGTCACCAGCCCAGACCCCAGCTGATGTCTACCCAAGCATCTGGTAATGTGTGGGTGGCGGGGGAGACAGCTGACGGCCACAATGGCCCTAAAGACTACTACCATGCCCTACTGGCCGGGGATGTTCAATATTCTCCAAGGCACAGAAGAGTCCCACACAATGAGGAATTGTCAATGCCAACAGTAAACCCCAGTCAGAAACACTACTACTTTGATTCCCATTCGAAATACCAGTCATGCTCATTTTTTATAGAAAACAGCCACCAGAGGCTAAGCACGAGGGTTCATGCCTGTAATCCCAGCACTTTAGGAGGCCGAGGCGGGTAGATGACTTGGACTTGAGGTCAGGAGTTTGAGACAAGACTGGCCAATATGGCAAAACCCCGTCTCTACTAAAAATAAAAATTAGCTAGGCATGCACCCGTAATTCCAGCTCTTAGGGAGGCTGAGGCAGGAGAATCGCTTTAACCCAGGAGGTAGGGGTTGCAGTGAGCCAAGACTGTGCCACTGCACTCCAGCCTGGGTGATGAAGTGAGACACCATCTCAAAAAAAAAAAAAAAAAAAAAAAAAAACAACCAGCCACCAGTTCCCAAGTCCTTCAGCAGGAGACAGAAAAAGCGTTCCTGGAGGGTGAAGAGCCCTGCCAAACTCCAGGTCTTCCTCTGGATCCCTAAGCAATTAAGAACAAATGATAGTTCTTTAGGTTTGTTTTGGTTTTATTTTTTTCCACTCTCAAAAATAAGAGCTTATAAGGCAGAATAAGCAAGTAGCTCTGGCTGGGTGTGGTGGCTCACGCCTGTCATCTCAGCACTTTGGGAGGCTGAGGTGGGTGGATCACTTGAGGTCAGGAGTTCGAGACCAGCCTGGTCAACATGGTGAAACCCCATCTCTACTAAAAATACAAAAATTAGCCAGACATGATGGCGTGTGCCTGTAATCCCAGCTACTTGGGAGGCTGAGGCAGGAGAATTGCTTGAACCCGGGAGTTGGAGGTTGCGGTAAGCTGAGATCATACTACTGCACTCCAGCCTGAGCATCTCAAAAAAACAAAACAAAACAAAAACCAAGTAGCTCTCTAGACACTGGCTTGCTTCCTAATATTAGTATCTGGAGGGCTAACAACAGGTCCCAGGAGGGCAAAGGAACATGATGCTGGCATAACTGATGCCCACCTGTTCCTGACCACCCAAAGGGCATGAGTAGGAATAGAGACAGACGGACAAGGAAAGGACTGCTAACTTTATGACTCAGTCACACAGAAATTCTAGGCAACCTTAGAATAACTGGCGAGGTGGTGGGATGCAGCCCAACCCGTGGTGACCTTATATGCTCAGGAACAACTTGATAGGCTGATGTAAATAGAAACACCAGACCCTCAGGGGCCTAGAGAAAAGCAGGCTCAGCCATGTCCTCAAAGCGGTGCCTCCAGTATAAGACTGGTGACTCTGCTGTGGGATCCTCGCTCAGCTTACCCCACAGCCCTGGTCTCCTCCCTCCTGCTGGACTCCCACCCCGCTCAGCCAGGGATCCACGTACCTGATAAAATAGCAGCAGAAGATAAGGCTGAGCATGAAGACAAAAATGCCCGTGCCGAAGATAACCATATAGATGTTGAGCGGAAGGTCTTGGAAACTGATGGGTGGCATGGAGCAGGACTTGTTGGTGCTAACCAGTCCCAGGCCACAGAAACACCCTGCAAAGGGAGAGGAAAAAAAAAATCATTAGGGTTGGAAATTTACTGCTGGGCTGATGGCACTGTGTCAGCAGGATAGAAATAATTGGCAGGCTCTGCGCACCTAAGCCTCAGATTCAGTGGCTCCAGTTTTATATCCTAGTTCTAACACTTACTAGCTATGTAATCTTGAGTAAATCTGATCTACAAAATTGAATACTATCCAAAATACTTAAAACAATATCCCCATCTAAGAAATAATAAATTCAGGCAAGCTGGGTTCAATGGCTCACGCCTGTAATCCCAGTACTTTGGAGAGGCTGAGGCAGGTGATCTCTCGAGGCCAAGATTTCAAGACCAGCCTGGGCAACACACAAGACCCCATCTCTACAAAAAATAATAGAAAAATTAGCTGGGCATGGTAGCGCATGTACTACCATGTAGTCCCAGCTACTCAGGAAGCTGAGGTGGGAGGATCACTTGAGCCCAGGAGTACAAGGCTGCAATGATCGGTGATTACACCACTGCACACCAGCCTGGGTGACAGCGTGAGACCCAATCTCTATTAAAAAAAAAAAAAAAAAGAATTTAGGCAAGAGCAGAAACTGGAGAACTTAATTCTATCAGGTCAGAACCCATATAGCCTTAGCTGAGAAATTATTATTTGGGTTCTAACTCCCCGCTCCCTAGCTAGCCATATGACCTTTAAGAAGTTACCTCTAAGCTTCACTTCGTTATATAAAAACAAGCAAAATAGAGAGAGGACTAAAAATGAGTGTGTAAGAAATATGCTTTGTAAATTGCAAAGGACAATTGCAAAGGTCATTTGTCATTATTAAGCCACCTGCTCCAGAAGACAAGCTGTGCCAGGACTAGAATAGAAATTGTTCACTCCAAGTCCTGGGCCAGCATTCCAGAAAGTGGCGATGGGGGTGGGGAGGAGGTTGCAACTTCCCTTACTGTGGTCACCTTCCCTCTTTCTACTCAAAGCCTCAATGTGCGGTCCCAATGGCAACAGCATCCTCTGGGAGCTTTTTAGAAACGTACACTCTCGGGTCCATCCCGGCCTACATGAATCAGGACCTATGCTTTTTTTTTTTTGAAACAGAGTCTCGCTCTGCTGCCCAGGCTGGAGGGCAGTGATGAGATCTCGGCTCACTGCAACCCCTGCCTCCCAGGTTCAAGAATCCTAGATTCTCCTGCCTCAGCCTCCCGAGTAGCTGGGATTATAGGCGCATGCCACCATGCCTGGCTAATTTTTGAATTTTTAGTAGAGATGGGGTTTCACCATGTTGCCCAGGCTGGTCTTGAACTCTTGACCTCAGGCGATCCACCCACCTTGGACTCCCAAGGTGCTGGGATTACAGGCATGTGCCACGGCACTCAGCCAGGACCTACGTTTTAACAAGCTCCTCAGGTGATTCCCCTGCACATTCAGTTTGAAAAGCACTGGCCAGCCACTAGATGCGTCCCTTCTCACAGGACTCAGGGATAAATACTGACTGGCCTACCCATCATGATAGTCACTTCTCCCTTTCCCCCTTGCCAGTATTTTATGTTCAGGTGGGTATGTGACCAGGTTCTGAGCAAAGAAACAAAGAGATCTGCTGGGAAAGGAACTTCGTTTGTTTTTGGAGACGAGGTCTCACTCTGTCCCTGCAGGCTGGAGCTCAGAGGTATAAACATGCCTCACTGTAGCCTCCAAGTCCTGGCCTCAACGAGATTCTCCTGCCTCAGCCCCACAAAGTGCTGGGACTATAGGCATGAACCTATAGTCATAGCGGGGGGCCGGGTGGGATCATGTCTCTCAGAGACACCTAGAATTGTGATAGCCAAGCTATAGCTGGAAAGAGAGCAGCCCAGTAGAAAGTCAAATGACTTGACCAGGCGTGGTGGCTGGTGGCTCACGCCTGTAATCCCAGTACTTTGGGAGCCCGAGGCGGGTGGATGGCTTGAGGTCAGGAGTTTGAGATCAGCCTGGCCAACATGGTGAAACCCCATCTCTATTAAAAAATTAGCTGGGCATGGTTGCACACATCTGTAATCCCAGCTAATCCGGAGGCTGAGGCAGGAGAATCACTTGAACCTGGGAGGCAGAGGATGCAAGCGAGCCGACATCATGCCACTGTACTTCAGCCTGGGAGACAGGGAAAGACTCCATCTAAAAGAAAAAAAAAAGGTAAAGTAAAATGGCTGAGGATGGCAGAAGGGAAAGGGAAAGAGAGGAGTCCTTGATGAATGAGAGAGCTGGAATTTGCTGTCCATTGCTACATCCTAAGCATATTCTCATGCTATCAATTTAATCTTTGTACTGCCACAGTAAAGGTTACTTCCCCCACCAATGGGAAAAAGACTCAATCATTTAGTAACCTGCCCACAGTCAAATAGCTAGGAAAGTCCAGCTCCAAAGCGTTCTCTGTACCCAGGCCTTGGGTTCCAGGCACTTTCCTGACATCTTGGAGCCAGATGCATTCACATGCCACAGAATTCTATACGCTAACGACCAGTGCTACCACAACTCAGCAGAACGCTGGCTTGAAAGACTGGAAGCCAACTTGGACATCAGTCCTCTTCATCCCTTACTGGTGAGTATACAACGAGCCTCCATTCAAACCTCTTTCAGACTGTGTCCAATTCTACTGCCACAGCCCTATTGCAAACACTCATCACCTCCTACTGTTTCCTAGTTGATGTCATCCCTGTTTCTAGTTCCTTCTCTCATTTACCCCACACGCCTGACACATCCTCCTAGTTGCTTTTTTTTTTCTTCTTCATTTTTTCTTTGGAAAGAGTCTTGCACTGTATCACCCAGGCTAGAGTGCAGTGGCACTATCTTGGCTCACTGTAACCTCCGCCTCCTGGGTTCAAGCAATCCTTCTACCTCAGCCTCCTGAGTAGCTAGGACTACAGGTGTACACCACCACACCTGGCTAGTTTTTGTATTTTTAGTAGAGACTGGGTTTCACCATGTTGTACAGGCTAGTCTTGAATACCTGACCTCAAGTGATCCACTCGTCTTGGCCTCCCAAGAAAGTGCTGGGATTACAGTGCATGAGCCACTGTGCCCCGCCCCCTCCTAGTCGTTTTGATCTTGTATTTTCCAAACTCATGACTGGCTTCAAGTCCTCCTAAAACATTCACCCTGTCCCTTCACAACTTCCTACTTAAAAGTTCTCAAATACTATCCCACGTGGGTCAGTCTTTTTCACTATTTCTTGTCCCACCTTGTCCTTACCTGCTTCCCTTTGTTCACACAGCTTTCCCTGCCTGAAACGCTCTCTCTGAGGCCCATCAAGCCTGTGATAGTCCAATAACCTCTCTTCCTTGAACTCTACAGCACTCATGACCTCCATCATTTGTTCTGGCCCCTGCTCACTCAGTAACTGTCTTACATCATTCAGTTACTGTAACTCAAATGTGCACTAATCATTGATTATATGATAAGTACTATTATAAGAAAGCAGAGACTGGGTGTGGCGGCTCACACCTGTAACTCCAGCACTTTGGGAGGCTGAGGCAGGAGGACCGCATGAGGCCAGAAGTTCAAGACTAACCTAGGCAACACAGTAAGACCCCACCTCTACAAATAATAATAATGATAAATTAGCTGAGTGTGGTGGTAAGTGCCTGTAATCCCAGCTACTCGGGAGGCTGAGATGGGAGAATCACTCGAGTCTGAAAGGTCGAGGCTGCAGTGAGCCACGATTGCACCATTGCACTTAGCATGGGCCATAGAGTAAGACCTTGTCTCAAAAAAAAAAAGAAAAAAAAAGGACAGAAGAATGATTAGATGATCTTACCACATAGGAAAAAAAGACACAAAGATTTTCACCATAGAAAGTGAGGCTCAGGCCAGGCGTGGTGGCTCACGCCTGTAATCACAGCACTTTGGGAGGCCGAGGTGGGCAGGTCACCTGAGGTCGGGAGTTCGAGACCAACCTGGCTAATATTGTGAAACCCTATCTCTACTAAAATACAAAAATTAGCTGGGTGTGGTGTCTGGCGTCCGTAATCGCAACTACTCGGGAGGCTGAGGCAGGAGAACTGCTTCAACCTGGGAAGCGAAGGTTGCAGTAAGCCAAGATCGTGCCACTGCACTCTAGTCTGGGCAACAGAGACTCCCATCTCAAAAAAAAAAAAAAAAAAAAAAACAAAACAAAAAAAAAAACCTGGGCATGGTGCACGCCTGTAGTCCCAGCTACTTGAGAGGCTGAGGCAGGAGAATCAGTTGAACCTGGGAGGCAGAGGCTGCAGTGAGCTGAGATTGTACCACTGCACCCCACGCTGGGCGACAGAGCGAGACTCCATCTCAAGAAAAATAAAAAAAGCCTGAACCTCCTAGGTTTGCTGACTCCAACTTGGACTTTTGTATATTCTCCAGTGTCTGGACTAGCCTAGAGTTTGGCTTGTTCTCAATAACTAGTTAACAGATAAATAATTCCCCATTTGCTTAAAATAACCTGGTCCCCTTGGCAAAACCTCCCACTTCAAAGCAGCAGGACTGATGTTTGGGAAAACTGCCCAGAAACTGCCCTCCGCTAATGGATCACCAGTCAACCAGCGAGTATGATTGAGGGCTTGCTTTATGCACTGACCTACACATTGTGGGAAAACAGAAAGTAAAAGTTCTTGTTCTGAAAGACTTTTTGATTAAGTTGAAATGAAAGAAATAATTAGCTACTAAACTTTGCTGTGCCCAACAGGAAGTCCCTTGTGTCTAGGCTCCAGCAGCGGTTAGAGAGAAAATGGTTTTCACCACCACTCCCACCCAAATATTTACTTTCTGTGGGTCAAAGAAGAACAATTTTCCATGAGGACATCATGGCAGACTGGCTAGAGTGACAAACTTCAGTCTATGCTGGAAAAGGGCCTTAGGACTTCCCTTCCAACGAGACCTGGTACTCCCAGCTGTCTTCTCACCTCCTTCCTCAGCAGTATTTGATGTTACAAGACGGTCTAAACCCCTATCTGCCTTAGTTCTTCCAGGCACCATTTATGAGCTGAAACCTCCTTTGGTTTCCAGTTCTGAGAACTTGCAGAACCTGGTCAGAGCTATTACAGAGGATATCTGTGCACTCCACAAGCACGATGGCCCCCCATAAGTCTTCTGATCAGTTTATCCCCACCATCTTATCCCGTCTGATAAAGGCTTCCCCTTTATCTCCCCACTGATTGAATCAGTGAGCTTGGTATTTTACACGTTAAAGAGGTTGGTGGGAAGAGCGTAGTCAAGAGGAGATGGTTCATTTGCTTGTGTTACTATTAAAGAAACAGCAAAATAGTCTCTTGGTCAAAAGCTGACATTGCAGTAAGGTTTTTCTTTAAAACTATATAAGGACAGAGAATACCAGCCCCAGAAAAGAGGGACTCCAGGTAGTTTCTGAAGGCGTGGGGGAGGGGTTGCTTCTTCACTGGAGTCAAAGGACAGGATCTCTCAGTCACTTTTCTAAGAAGTGCAAAGAGGGCCAGACGAGGTGGCTCCTGCATGTAATTCTGGCATTTTGAGAGTCTGGTGTGAGGATTGCTTGAGCCCAGGAGTTAAAGACCAGCATAGGCAATGTAGTGAAACCCTATCAGTAAAAGTAAATTAATTAATTAAAAATTAGCCAGTAGCCAGGTGTGGTGGCACACACCTATGGTCACAGCTATGCTGGAAGGCTAAGGCAGGAAGATCCCCTGAGCCTGGGAGTGGCAGGCTGCAGTGAGCCATGATCATGCCACTGCACTCCAGCATGGTTGTCGGAGTGAGACCTTCTCTCAAAAAACATTAAAATGGGCTGGGCACGGTGGCTCATACCTGTAACCCCAGCACTTTGGGAGGCTGAGGCGGGTAGATCACCTGAGGTCAAAAGTTCAAGACCAGCCTGACCAACATGGAGAAATCCCGTCTCTACTAAAAATACAAAATTAGCCGGCTGTGGTGGTACACGCCTGTAATCCCAGCTACTCGGGAAGCTGAGGCAGGAGAATCACTTGAACCTGGGAGGTGGACGTTGTGGTGAACGGAGATCGAACCATTGCACTCCAGCCTGGACAACAAGAGTGAAACTCCATCTCAAGAAAAAAAAAAAAAAAAGCAGCAAGTCTAAAATCTGATATGAAAGGGGGCTGCCCAGAAAGGGCAGTGTTACTAACAGCTGCCTCGTTTCTCCCTAAGTCTCTGTTCCATTGTCTCCGCCAACCTATGAAAGCGTTGACATCAGAATGTCTCATCTCATCTGGCAGGCTGGGAGCAGGAATGACGTCAGACAAGGGCTGGCCAAGAAAGACCAGGGGATCTGGGAACTGCTTCTCTTTCCCAGCCAACGGGAATCTTTCCCAGATGCTAGGATGCACGGGCCTTCCTCAACCCCCATCCTCTGCCCCCTCTCCCACAAAACCGCCTATCACATACGGCTTGGTTCATTTTCAGGAAATGAGATCTGATCAGCAAAAGAAGGAAGGCGGGGTAGGGGGACGTGGGGTATACATGCTACCCAAACCATGCCTTAAAACAAAGCCTCTTGACATAATTAATCCAAGATCTGGCAGAAGTACTCTCAAGAATGATTTTTTTTCCCTTGTAACTAGCTCGCTTGCCATACTGAGAGATAAGACCAGCTGCTTCCCATCTCTCTCTCCCAGAAACTCTCCAAGCATCGGAACAACGCGGTCAAGAGTGGGACCCCAGGGAGGCTGGAGGAGGTGGGGTGGGGGGCGATTAGTATCCAAGGTTTTGAAGTGTCCCGCTCGGAAACACCTACATTTGGGTAGCTGGCTGAGGAATCAGACTCCAGCCTAACCCAGTATCACCTGAACCTCCAAAAAGCCTCAGGTGAAATGAACTAACTTAGAAGCGTCACCCAAGCCTGGGGAGAAATGGGGCGAGGGGTTGTCGGGTCTGGAGGTGCGGCCTTCACTTGGGCTCAGGAGCAGACACCCCAATCCGGCTTTGGGGCCAGAAAGCACGGCTCCCGCCAGGCCAGCCTGGCATCCCAGGGACAGCCGGGAGCGGAGCTCTCTGCAAGGGTTTATCAACTCAGGAAAACGGCTTTTTTTTTTTTAAATGTAGTTTCATTCTTGTTGCCCAGGCTGGAGTGTAATGGCACGATCCTGGCTCACTGCAACCTCCACCTCCGGGGTTCAAGCGATTCTCCTGCCTCAGCCTCCCAAGTAGCTGGGATTACAGGCATGCGCTACCACGCCCAGCTAATTTTGTATTTTTAGTAGCGACGGAGTTTCTACATGTTGGTTAGGCTGGTCTCGAACTCCGACCTCAGGTGATCCGCCCGCCTCGGCCTCCCAAAGTGCTGGGATTACGGGCGTGAGCCACCGCGCCCGGCCGAAAGCGACTCTTTAATCCAGTCTTCCACAGGCACTAAGCCACCCCAGCAGCCCATGGGAAACCAACAAAGCCAGAGGAAGCCACCCCCGCGCCCCGTCCCGCACGCTGCACGGTATACATATTTACAATAGCCTGCAAAGTTTCAGGCCGGGAACTTGAGCTCCCTCTAGGAGATCCCAGCCCGAGCGCGGATTTAATTCTCCTCCAACAACCACAACAAAGAACAGAGTTTGAGCGCACAAAGGCAGGGGATGGGGGTAGAAGAGCGGGGCCGCCACACAAAGGCCGGGAACCCCTCGGCTCCCACGCCCCCGGCCCGCCGCCCGTCCGGAGGCCCCTTCCAGGCCCTGGAGTGAAACCTGGATAGTTTCAAATTCCGCGCTGTGCAGAACAGAGTGGGGCGCCAGGACGCCTTCTCGACCGTCCCATTTCAGGAGAAACTTGGTTCCCGAGGGAGGACCAGCGCGCTGCTGTCCGACCTTGCGCCTGGCGCCGCGGCTCCCACCAGCCCCACGTAGGCTCGGCCCTCGCCCTGGGGACTCACCGTTACACCACTGGAATGGGTGCATCAATGAAGTCGCGGTTGGCTTCCTAGGGCGAACGGACGCAGGCGGGGTGCCAGGAAGGCGGGGTGGGAGCACTAGTGGCGTGAGGGGCCGCAGGCGGGGTCGGGGCAGCGCGCTGCAGCCGCCCTGCTGGAGAAGTCGAACTCCCTCCGGAGTGGGGGGCTTTGGCGAGGCCGGTGTTCAGCCCAACAAAGAGGGACGAGGAGGAAACAAACAAAGTCCCGCGGAGCAGAGTCGCACGGAGCGCACGCGCCAAGGGCCCCTGGCTGGGGGAATGTGGGGCACCGCGGGGCGGGGGTGCCCGGGCGGCAGAAGCCCTCGGCCGGGGGAGGAGGGAAAACCTTTGCCGGAGGTACAGCTCGGGTTCAGTAGCGCGGAGGTGAGCTGGCTGGGGTTCCGAAACTGACACCCGGCGGTGCACACCCCCTCCCTTTTACTGCTCCCACCAGCCCCCCAGGAAAACTCCGCCCCTTGTTCGTCACCCGCCCTCCGACCAATCGGAGCCTTTCTCCTGCCCCCGGCTATTATTTGCAGGCCCGCCCTCCCTTCCCTGGAAGCCGGGAGGATCTTCGCACGGTGGGTCCCTCCCACTTCGTCTTGCCAGGCCTGGGGCAACTTCCGTCTGCACAGAAGGGAGCTGCGACGTGCGATGCCCCGGGGTGGGGGCCCGCCTTCTGCTCAGGGACACCAAAGCAAAGGAACAATTACTGACACGTTGTTTTCCGCCTACAGATCTGTTATTTATTTACTTAGGTATTTGGAGGCAGAGTCTCCCTCTATCGCCCAGGCTGGAGTGCAGCTGCACGATCTCAGCTCACTGCAACCTCCGCCTCTCGGGTTCAGGTGATTCTCCTGCCTCAGCCTCCGGAGTAGCTGGGATTACAGGCGCTCACCACCATGCCCAGATAATTTTTGTATTTTTAGTAGCGACGGACGGGGTTTCGCCATGTTGGACAGGCTGTTCTCGAACTCCTGGCCTCAAGTGATCCTCCTGCTTCAGCCTCCCAAAGTGCTGGGATTAGAGGCCTGAACTACCGCGCCCGGCCCTCTTTTTCTTTTTTGAGTTACAGTCTTGCTCTGTCACTCAGCTGGAGGGCAGTGGCGCAATCATAGTTCACTGCAGCCTCTAACTTCTGGGCCCAAGCAGTCCTGCCACCTTAGCCTCCCAAAAGAACCTGGGACCGCAGGTGCCTGCCACCAAGCCCAGCCACTTTTTAATTGTTTTGTATAGATGAGTGGTCTCACTGTGCTGCTCAGGCTGGTCTCAAGTGATTCTCCCGCCTGAGCCTCCCAGATTGCTGGGATGATAGGCATGAGCCGTGGCGCCCAGGACATTTCATTTCTTAATTAGATAATTACAAAAGCTTCCTAACTGGCCATTCTGATTCTAGTCTATAGCTCAGACTTTAGAGCCTACAAGAATCACTCCTACCTTTGAGATGTAACGTGCGGATTCTCAGGCCTTGAGCCCAGAGATTCTGATTCAATAAAGGGTGGACTCAGAAATTTTCATTTTAATGTGCCTTGTCTTCCCCACCCCTCAGATTCTCATGCGTCTATTGAAAGAAACAGTGCTCTGATTTCACTCTCAAGTTCATCCCTTCCGGTCACAGTTATCTTTCTAAAATGTAAATCTGAACATTTCTTTGCTTAATAACATTTGTTGGTCTCCAGTGTTTACAGAATAAAATTCTGTAAACTAGAGTGTGATATTCAAAGTGTTTCAGTCTAGACTCACTCCTATAATCTCAAAACTTTGGGAGGCTGAGGTAGACGGTTTGCTTGAGCTCAAGAGTTTGAGACCATTCTGGGCAACATGGTGAAGCCACATGTATAAAAAACACAAAAATCAGCTGGGACTGGTGGTGCGCACCTGCGGTCCCAGCTACTCTGGTGGCTGAGGTGGGAGAATCATTGGAGTTCAAGAAGTTGAGGATGCAGCTGCAGTGAGCTGTGACGGTGCCACTGCACTCCAGCCTGGGCGACAGAACGAGACTACTCTGTTTCAAACAAAAAAAAAATTTAAATAAAGTGTTTCAGTCTAGCCTTATTTGTTTCAGTCTTCCTCATACTCAAATACTCCCTTTCAGCACACACTATTCATCAGCCTTGTTGTTACTCTTCCTTGAACATAGTCTGTGTATATTCTTTCTGTTTTGTTGTTTTTATTTATTTAGAGACAAGGTCTGGTTCTGTTGCCCAGGTTGGAATGCAGTTGTGTGATCTTGGCTCACTACAGCCTCCACCTCCTGGGTTCAAGCCATCCTCCCACCTCAGCCTCCCAAGTAGCTGGCACTACAGGCACTCACCACTATGCCAGGCTAATTTTTTTTATTTTTTTATTTTTTAATTTATTTTTTGTAGAGACTGGGTTTCACCACATTGCCCAGGCTGGTGGCAAACTCATGAGCTCAGGCTATCTGCCTGCTTTGGTCTCCCAAGTGCTGGGATTAATGGGTTACGCTATACATGTGTAGGGCTGGGGTTGTATCAGAACTCTACCTTCTTCTCAATTTTGCCGTGAACCTAAAACTATGCTGAAAAATAAAGTTTTTTTTTTAAAAAGTGTGCATAATGGTAACTTATCCAATAGTTCTTTCTATTCATTGGCTCAGGGGAGAGGTGTGATGGGTGATCCTAATTTTATTGAGGCTCTCCTGCTAAGTGCCTCCAGCACCAGACTGTGAAAAAAGGAGAGCCTTTGAAGGGGAAATTGACAGGAAGTGAGGAACACCTCCCATCCCATTCCCCTTTGGACCAGAGGTTCTTGGTAGGAAAACACCCTTAAAGGTAGGAACGATGGAAATTCTTTTTTTGAAACGGAGTCTTGCTCTGTGTCGCCCAGGCTGGAGTGCAGTGGCTTGATCTCAGCTCACTGCAACCTCTGCCTCCCGGGTTCAAGTGATTCTCCTGCCTCAGCTTCCTGAGTAGCTAGGATTACAGGTGCAACAATTTATATTTTAAGCATGATATTTGAAGAATTCAATAAGATCTCCCGAGGCACTTAAGGACTCCAATTTGGAAAAACTGGTGTATCCCTTCACACTCTCCTCACCTCGTCCCCCCTGGCCAGTGTGGCCACAGCATCTCAACTGATGGTTGACATTGGGAGTTATATGTTGGTAGAAGGGCTTTGGTTCTGGGCATCTTTGAAACGATTGGTTCAGTCCCAGCATTTTCCTGGACTGAAGGGTTCTATGGAAGATAAGCTGATTTCTCACATCATGTCAACTAAATTTAGATCTCTCACTCCTCCACCCTCACCACCAGGTGACTTAGCTCCACCTGAGTCAGGAAGACTAGTCTGGTTTGCTGGGGAAGAAACTGAAACAGTAAAGAAGATAATGGGCCATATATTCAAAGCCACTTGATAAATATGAAGTAGAAATATGTTTCTAGGATGGGTGTGGTAGCTCACACCTGTAATCTCAGCACTTTGAGAGGTTGAGGTGAAGGAGCTTGAGCCAGGAGTTGGAGACCAGCCTGGACAACATAGCAAGACCCCATCTCTACAAAAAATAAAAATCAGCTGGGCATGGTGGCACATGCCTGTAGTCCCAGCTACTCCAGAGGCTGAGGTGTTCAAGGCTGCAGTGAGCTATGATTGTGCCACTAGACACCAGCCTGAGCAACAGAGCAAGACGAAAAGAAAAGAAAAGAAAGAAATATGTTTTAAAATCTTCTGTGGAAAGAGAAAAAATACTAAACCTCCAGAAAAACTTTTTTTTAATTAATTAATTTTTTATACAGGGTCTTGCTCTGTCACCCAGTGGTGCAGTGGTGACATCTCTACTCACTGCAACTTCCACCTCCCAGGCTCAAGCGATCCTCCCACCTCAGCCTCCTGACTAGCTGGGACTACAGGCACATACTACCATGCCTGGCTAATTCTCTGGGGTTTTGCCATGTTGCCCAGGCTGGTCTCAAACTCCTGAACTCTGGCAATCCCTCGGCCTTGGCCTCCCAAAGTGCTGGGATTACAGGCAGGAGCCACCATGCCTGGCCTAGAAAGGCTACTCAGGAGTCAAGGGATTCTTTTTATTCCCACTGCCCGACTCCAGCTTCCTCTTAGACACTCCGTGAGCCCCCCTCGTTTTAAGGCCTTGTGAACAGTAGAGAAACCCTCTGGAGAGAGGCAGTCAATTCTGTGGAGGTGCATGGGGGAAGAGGCCTGAATCACCTCCTTTCATCTTTAGTAAAATACCTTCTTTCATGGGCCTCCAAGTGCGGCCCGATAATGTAGCACAGAGAATGCTAACCATGGTTGGTTATAAAAAATGATACATGACTGGAGGCCATGGCTCACGCCTGTAATCCCAGCACTTTGTGAGGCCAAGGTGGGCAGATTGCTTGAGCTCAGGAGTTCAAGACCAGCCTGGGTAACATGGCAAAACCCCATCTCTACAAAAAGTACAAAAATTAGCTGGACGTGGTGGAGTGCACTTGTAGTCCCAGCTATTCAGGAAGCTGCGGCAGGAGGATGGCTTGAGCCTGAGAGGCAGAGGTTGCAGTGAGCTGAGATTGTGCCACTGCACTCCAGCCTGGGTGACAGGGTGAGACCCATTCCCCCCAACCCCCCACCAAAAAAAAGATATATAACCCCAAGTAAACATGTCATACCTCAGAATTAGACAAATTGTCACAATATTTTCCCAAACTTTTAAATTTTGTATAAGAAGCGTTTTCATGGGAGGAGCATGTAATTCTTTGAAGGTGTTGAGAGTCGTGCATTGTATATTGGGCAAATGAAGCCCTTCGCTTTTTCTTCTTCTTCTTCTTCTTCTTCTTCTTCTTTTTTCTTTTTTTTTTTCTTTTGAGACAGGATCTTGCTCTGTCTCCCTGGCTGCAATTTTTATTCTTAGAAGATCTAGGCTTCCTCTGTGCAGATACCCTAGAAGTCTCAGTAACGGGATTTTTTTTTTTTTTTTTTTTTTTTTTTTGAGACAGAGTTTTGCTCTTGTTGCCCAGGCTGGAGTGCAGTGGCACGATCTCGGCTTACCACAACCTCTGCCTACTGGGTTCAAGTGATTCTTCTGCTTCAGCCTCCTAAGTAGCTGGGATTACAGGCGTGCGCCACCACGCCCGGCTAATTTTGTATTTTTAGTATGTTGGTTAGGCTGGTCTCGAACTCCCGACCTCAGGTGATCCGCCTGCCTCAGCCTCCCAAAGTGCTGGGATTATAGGCGTGAGCCACCGCACCTGGCCAGTACTTGGATTTTTTTAGGGGATTGATGCAACTCTTGGCCGAAAGTATTCATAATCTACC